CACACACACACACACACACACACACACACACACACACACACACACACGGGGACTATTATTCAGCCATAAAAAAGAACGATTTTGCCATCTGAACAACATGGATGGACCTCAGCATAATACTAAGTGAAATAAGTCAAAGACAAATACCATACGATTTCACACATATACAGAATTTAAAACAAACAAACAATGAACAAAGGGGAAAAAGAGACAAACAAAAAAAGACTCTTAAGTACAAAGAACAAACTGGTGGTTGCCAGACGGGAGGTGGGGGATTGGTGAGCTCCGTGAAGGGGACTCAGAGTATACTTATCAAGATGAACACTAAGAAATATACAGATTTACTGAATCACTGCAAACGAAACTAAAATAACACTTTATGCAAAGCATACTTAAATTTAAAAATAAATGAATGAAATTTACAAAAGAAATTAATTAGGGTAAAAATAAATAAAACTACTTGGTTTATAAATTGCTTATACTAATTGCTATATATTTGGTTACCTATATGATCTCAGCTCCTACCTAGGTTATGAAATCCCTGTAGGCAAATCTAGTAATTATTTGCTTCCTTCTCTGTTGTTTTTCCTGGGACATTCCCTCTATCTGGTTTCAAGGTGACTCTTGCTGATAAATCTTTCAAAGCTCGGCCCACTGGACACCTCTCCAGCCTCAATCACTGACCTCTCTCTCTCTCTCTCGCTCTCAGATGGCCTTTCCTGACTTCCAGCGCCCCTCCTCTAATACCAGCAACTAGTAGCCAGCTCACACAGTCCGTCTCCTCCTTTCTCGGAATCTACCTTGCCATGCACTGGCCTCTGACCTCTGTGTTTTCAACCCCTAATATCCCTTCTTGGGGCGCTTGGCACAAACATTTTCTGGGTGCTAGATGCCAGATCTTCAAAGCCCAACCCCTCCTGTAACAACCTGCTAGGATGACCTGGTTTAATCACCCTGTGGCCTCTGACCCCCTTGCCCTCAACCCCAATAACCCTTGTGCCCCCAGCCGCAGGCATTTGGCTGAACAACCCATTCTGCTCCTGAGCCACGGCTTCAAGCCCAGAGTGGCCTCTTCTCTTCCTTTCTTCTGGCCTTCCTCCCTCTCTCCTTCTGTAAGGGCTTCATCGTCTTCCTTACTGCCCTTTATGGTACCAGACAGCTCCTGACTGTCAACCACGTGACTGAGAACCCTTCATTAGCTCTCACTGCCCACGGAACAGATCCCCAACCAAGTGTCAGTGACAAGCTCCCCCAGGTGCAAATCCCAGCTGCCCTGCCAATTCCTGCCGATTCCAGCCCGTGTCTCCACGCCCCAAGAAGGCCTTCTGGAATATACTTCACCTGAAACGATCACCTCACTTGGGGAAAAGGGCTACTTTGAGGGGCTTTAAATGTTTATTTCCTCTTGCATTCAAGTTTGAGCTTTACCTTATTTATGGTAGGAGAAGGAGAAGATGAAGAAGGTGGTGACTGGCTGAGACTTTCGATACAACCAATCTGAACCAAAATATCCACCTTAAAACAAAAAGGGTGCTCCGTAAGCGAATAAAAAAAGAGCATACCAAAGCTTTTAACTAGAGACAGCAAACTCGTGGCAGGGCTAAGTTCACCAGAAAATGCTAGCATGCGGTCCGTTCACAAACATTACGTGCAAAAGCAAAGCCCCAACTGCGGAGGAGTGGGTTCTGGTCAGTGCGCACTCTGGGGACTGCTGCTGCCGGCCACATCACGGTGTCACTGAAGCACCAAAAAT